ACTGTTCCGGTATTCTGACATCTACGGACGCTGGCTGTCAGAACACAATAGCATGATAGAGGTGATTCCTCCATCCACACTGTTTAGTATCGAGTGTTTTGTTCTCATTCAGTCTGAAGGCCTGAACAAGAAAAAAACTAATAAGATAGTTAGCTTAGACATTGTCTAAGCTGTGGAGGAGAAGAATGGTCTTGTCAGCAGTGGAACAATGAATAGAAAGGGGACCATTTTGCAAGTAAAGCTAAAACCCAGTAAATGTGTATATTTATTATTAAATATCTATGTTATAACAGTGGGGATTTATTTCTCACTGGGGTAGATATACAGTGAAAGTGAAGTATACAGCTAATATAAATAGATTAGTCTTTGTAATAGTGGGATGATATGACAATAATAGTCGCAATTGTTTATGAATTCTTCATTTTCAAGGCTTGTAATAGGCTTACAGGTCTTAATCATGGTAGTATCCCTTAGTTAATCTCTACTTGTTTTAAGCACACTGAGCTAAATATAGTCAGCATTGTCCTGGAATATATTACTTTCTGTCTTGTAATCTAAATTCATTTTCTCATCTCCAGCATTTTATAAGTAAAGCTTAACTCCTGACAAAAGTCTTAAAGCCGAACTCCAGGTAAAAAATATACAAATCCCGGCAAAAGCAGAAATAAAACAACAGTTTTTGTTGCAATTTCACCTTTAAGTCAAAGCCACCACTAGATGCCTAAAGGCTTGTTCTCACCATAAACAGTGCGTTCTAGAGCGGTCAGCTGCTGGAACGCACTGTATCGCATCCTGGCCGGCTTCCTGCATTTAGGGGCGGGAGGGGGCATGGAGGTGCATTGAAGTCAATGGGACCGCAGCCAAGCCCCATGCCCGCAGTGCAATTGCCTGCAACAGAACGTGTGGCACATAATTGCCTGCATTCCAGTGGACGACGACGACACACGTGACTGCAGTGTCGTTGACTTCAATGCACCACCACTAGCTCCGCCCAGCTGTTTCCCATTGGCCGGCACCTGCTAGAGTTTTCTAGCAGGTGCTGGCCAATGAATGGCGTCATGGCCGGCTCCGCCCAGTTGTTAATATTAAATGACAGATCAGCGACCCAAGGACGCTGATCTGTCATTACAAATGGGCGGAGCGAGCTGTGAGATCACAGGCTGAGCCGCTCGGCCTCCTTTGGCTGCTGTATGGGCTATTGTGAATAACCCGTACAGCAGCCCTTTGGTTCGACTGAACCGAAGGGCTCTGTGGCCGAAGAGAGCCGAAGGATCAGCCAAAGCTACTGCTGTATCCTTCGGTTCAATAGTAAATAACCCCCTTTGTTCCCGCCCAGCATTATGAGAGTATCGTCTTCCGTCCTCCCTTGCACCGCGAAGTCTGCCTCGCCTCCCGGCTCCTCCCATCCCTGTCTCCTCCCATGCCTGCCTTTCATGTCCTCTCAGCACTGACTCCCTCTCCCAGCTCATCGGGCTCCAGGAATAAGTTGACAGCAGCATTTTAAAGGGGCACTCATCAGAGTGCCCCTTACATAAGTTGCTGCCATCAGGGTGCCCCCTTACATTATATAGAAAAATAAAGGGGCACACTGATGGGGATAACTAATTATTAATATTATATTGGTGTCCCTATCATTGTGCCCTTTTACATTGCTTTGTCCCCATCAGGGTGCCCGCTTTTTTTTATTTAATGTAAGGGGGACTCTGATGGTGGCAACTAATGTAAGGAGGGCATTGCGATGGGGGCAGCTAATGTAAGGTGGCACTCTGATGGAGGCATCTAATGTAAAGGGGCACTCTGATGGGGGCATCTTATATAAGGGGGCACTCTGATGGCGCCAACTAATGTAAGGTGGCACTCCGATGGGGGCATCTAATGTAAGTGTGCACTCTGATGGGAGCACCTGATGTAAGGAGGCACTCTAATGTAAGGGGGCGCTCTGATGGCGGCAACTAATGTAGGGGGCACTCCGATGGGGGCATCTAATGTAAGTGTGCACTCTGATGGGAGCACCTGATGTAAGGAGGCACTCTAATGTAAGGGGGCGCTCTGATGGCGGCAACTAATGTAGGGGGCACTCCGATGGGGGCATCTAATGTAAGTGTGCACTCTGATGGGAGCACCTGATGTAAGGAGGCACTCTAATGTAAGGGGGCGCTCTGATGGCGGCAACTAATGTAGGGGGCACTCCGATGGGGGCATCTAATGTAAGTGTGCACTCTGATGGGAGCACCTGATGTAAGGAGGCACTCTAATGTAAGGGGGCGCTCTGATGGCGGCAACTAATGTAGGGGGCACTCAGATTGCAGCAACTAATCTGAGGGGGCACTCCGATGGCGGCAGCTAATGTAAGGGGGCACTCCAATGGTGGCAACTAATCTAAGGGGGCACCCTGATTGGGGCATCTAATGTAAGGGGGCACTCCAATGGCGGCAACTAATCTAAGGGGGCACCCTGATTGGGGCATCTAATGTAAGAGGGCACTCAGATTGTAGCAACTAATCTAAGAGAGGCACTCTGATGGCTGCAGCTAATGTAAGGGGGCACTCTGATAGGGACACCTATTGTAAGGGGGCACTCTGATGGGGACACCTAATCTAAGGGGGCTCCGATGGGGACAACTGACGTAAGGGGGCACTCTGATGGGGATGCCTAATCTAAGGGGGCTCAATGATGGGCACTCTGGTGGATGTTGTACTTTTTTTCAGTGAAGCCAGCCACGTGGTGGTACAAATGCATCACACTGTGCTTTGCCTATAGAACTTAATGAAATATCATTGGTGACATTTCAATAAAGTTCTGACAAAAAAAATGCGATGTGCCGGGATCGATGCAGCAGAACTGTGTCTGGAAAAACACAGCAGCAGCTGTGCGTTATAGTGCAGGTGTGAATGTAGCCTAAATGGCAGACCTCAGTACAGATAGGGGTTGGTTGACTGTTCTGTCCAGACCAGGATTCAGACATCAACTCAAAGAACATTTTGGTTACCGGACCTCCTTGAATTTTAATTTACTACACCTAGTCTAGATGATAACTTCATAGCAGCCTTTCTCGACCTTTTTACCATGGAACACTGGAAATAGTTTTCAGGTCTCATGGAACTCCTGTAAAAATTATTATATCTACATCTCCTAGCACATTAGTCACACCACAATAGTGATCAGTGGGAGAGGGGAACTAGTGAAAAGACTGCCCTGTGACATTAGTGCTCAATGAGAAGAATGCTCTTTACATTGCCCCCACTTACACACAGCTAACATGATCAGTGGTTTCTTACTAGGAACGTTCCACTGGTCCCAAACCACTGGTATTGGTGTCTAAAATATGCAGGCACCACCAGGCAGGAGATCAGTTCACTAACCACTGCTCAAGGAACCCCTAGCAACCTTTGGAGGAACGCTGGCAGAGAAAGGCTGGACTCAGCTATTTCCTTATCATTTACCTCATGCAGCTATCTCTGACGACTACAGAATCCCACTCCTCTATGTTATTTAGAAGAGGAGAAAGGCTGTTTCAGTAGTCCTGCCCTGTTGTCCTGATACAGTAGGGTAGAAGTAGGCAACATTGGCACTCCCGCTGTAGTAAAACTGCAATTCCCATCATGCCACTGAGAATCATGCCTGTGAGAGGCTTGCCTTTTTTTCAATGACATTTTTTTAATAATACTTTATTTTGTTCTTACACACAGGTTCAGTGGTAAATATATTAAATTCGCTTAGGTAGGTGTGAATAGAACTTTTGGTGGCATTCTTGCAGCAAGTAACACACGATGAAGACTTGTGCTGGCAGTCTTGGGACTGTGCCAGGTTGGCAGGTTTCATGCTGGCCCGCCCACCACAGAGAACTAGTTCAGGGGTCAAGGGCCACAGTACTAGTGCACTGTGGCAGCTCTGGCAGTGTGGGTTCTATTGCACATCTAGGGTTGCCAACTTTTCTTCCAGTGAAACCCTGAACACTCTGGCGACGCACGGAATTTTTTTGGGGAGAATGAGTCGTGGCTTATTCATATGTAAATAACGTCACCCATTCACACGTAAATATCACAGTCAAGACTATTTTTAGTGGGGGGCCAGTAGCCCCTACCCTAATTTTGGTTGTCCCTGTCTGCCTGACATCATGTGTCTGGGTTACAGCTGCAATGAAACCCGGACACAGCATTCAAAACCCGGACTGTCCGGGTGAATCCTGGACAGGTGGCAACCCTACGCACACCGCCGGAGTTGACACTGTTTACAGTTTTTTTTTTGTAACTATGTAGAGTGTACAATGTATACATTCCATTCAGGTCTTCAGCACAGCAGTGTGGTGCTCTGCCCTGCTGTGTGGCAACATTCACTGCACTGTGAAAAGACTGTAGTATGTTTGCGTTTTTCAACAGTGCACCACCCATCACACCCGCATTGTGGTGTGAACAGGGCACAGATAAAACAGCTGTTGATCCATTGTGGTAAAACGCAGGTCATCGCTATATGTGTTGGCCCTTATAGCAGGCCTGAACTGTTTGGGCCATTTTTAATTTCACAATCTCCATTCCTATTATCTCTCCCCTCATTTCACTTGCATTGAAGTAAATGTGCTGCAGATGATCTGATTGCCAAGTGGTTAAATCACTCAGCTGCATGAGATTAAAATCTCACAAATAGTTTAGCTCTTACTGCTGTTGAATGTCATCATGGAGTCTATAATCTTTACTAGATTGAGACGTCAGCAATATGCATGATGTACATTATCTTTCACCTCCTGTGATTCTTAATGGAGCATCAATAAAATTCACAGTTGTAATGATCACCCATTTCAGATGGCTTTCTATTCTTTTTGGTCCAGTGGAAGTAAGCAAAGTGTGCTTGCAGAGTGATTACCGAGGGTTTGTTTCAACTGCTGCTCTCTAGACTTTTTGTAATAACACAAACTATTTATGTTTTATTATGTGCAAATGATTACAAAATGCTATTACAGTGTAATGACTGACATATTTTTTTATTTTTATATTGTATTCTAGAAGGTGCCAGACCATCTTGGAGCTGTAAGCCATGTCTATGCCATTCCGAAAAGACTTTGAGAAGTACAAGAATATAAATGAGGATGAAATTCTTAACAAACTCTCAGAGGATGAATTGAAACAGCTGGAGAACGTCCTGGAGGAACTTGATCCTGAGGTAAGAGTAATCAGCAGGGCAACTTCAGGTGGCTAGCAGACATCAAGCTGTATGATGGGATATCTAGAAGAGAGAAAGTGAATATTATATGGAGAGGAAAAGGGTTGTATGTCATTTTAAAGAGTCATTTTAGTTAACAGTTGAAAGCATTTGGTGAGCTTGTAATACTATCCAAAAAAAACATCAACCATGCTTCAGTCATAGACATAATAATTACTCTTTATCTAAATTGCATGTAATCCCCTACAGAATAGGTACACATCGCTCCATGCCATTCCATTCTGTCTGAAGATGTTGTTTTTTGTAAAATGTATTAAGTGAGTCATTAGAAATCTGTCTCGTGGTAGTTCTACAAATGGCGCTAGATTTATGTATGTGTCAGTAAGATGAATATGATCTATGTCTGTCACAGATCTGACCGAAATCCACAATGGAAGAGAACCTATTTACCTCCAATTTCCTTACCACTGATATGGCGGCATTTGTATATAAACTTGTTGCAACATATGCGGCAGATATTAAAAGTGTCTGAAGTAAGAAATACTTGAATTTGTCACATGCGCCGGTACTAACAATAAAAATGTCCCACGGGTTTTATGAATTTGGTGCAAGGTTTTAGACTACATCCTTACCGCTAGAAATGTGTTGAGATTGCCTAATAAAGTCGCCCTGTGTGTGTGCTGCAGTTGTATATATGGGTGACACAGGATGACTAATCAGAAGCCCAAACACTGTTTGTTATACAGTGCGAGTGTGCCATGCATTCACATTATTGTGAAAGATTACAATGAGATGGATGCTGAAACTCTCCTGCGGGCAGAAGAGGAGTAAGAGACTTGGAATTTCATCTGAACCAGAGATGAGTAGTTAAGTTTGGCCAAACTTGGATTCAACCCATATTGGACAGTTTCACATTTCCTAGGTGAACCAATGTGTTCCACTAGGTAACTAGTAAAGGGGTCTAAAGGTGTCCACACACCTTGCGATAATCGCGGGAAATCCCGCGATCTTACGATTATCGCAAGGTGTGTGGAAGGCGTGCGAACTCTGGTACTGTAAGGTCGCACGACTTTTATCTTAGGAACCCGACGAGAATCGCACGATTGTCGGGTGTGTGGCGTGTTCGTAAGATTAATGACACACTGGCCGGTGTGCGCAGCATTGCGGTCATCGGAAGCCCGCCCCTCAGCGGGGCAGGCTTGCGATTATCGCAAGTACGATCTGCCCGTCCAAGTTGGGCAGATCGTACGTTTTTTTAATTACCTTACAACCATTGCAAGACAAAAGTCTTGTGATGGTTGTAAGGTGTTTGCCCAGCATCAAGCATGCTTTTACTGTTCATTCCTAAACTGAGAGCCAGACACTGCAAGTAAGGCTTCACAGACTTCTGCAGTGTGCAATGTGCACAGGACTGCACCATTATAATTTGGGAAATTATGCCACAGTTGGGAAAATGCATGAACACCTACACAAGGAAACCTTTAAACTGCTGTCTGCGGCATCCAATTTCAAAAGTCTAATTTCCCAACTTTTTTACACCCTATCCTCTCCTTTAAATTCCAGCAAACTTCCATACAGGATAAACCGGGAAACAAATCTCAGGGAAACCTTGGATCTTCTGGAATAGAACAAGAAATAGTTGGCTGCTGCCAAATGTTCATCTAACATCTTGGCCCAGGAAGTGATTTTTCGCTGGTATACGATTTGAGCACGCGTCCCCAAATTTGTACCTGGGGCTTCTCTGAATTATTTGTAATACCCCTGGGTCCCTCTTCCATATTTGGTGGGAATGCCCCAAAGTCATGAAGTTATGAATTCTGGTCCATACCCTCACGTGTTCGGTATCAAACATTTTCCTATCTAAGAAAGCCTGGGAAGCTTTGCTTCATAGACCCACTTCCAACCTAATTAAGCACAACGAAAACCTTTTTCCTTCATATTGCTGGCTACCAGACAAACACTTAAAAAAGCCTGGAAACAATTATCCTTGTGCTTTGTGGAAGTTAAGGCGAGAGTAATGGGCACCAGGAGAAGATGACGGCTGCCCTGAGCGATACCCAAAAAAAACGTTCAAAATATGGTCTCCCTTGATAGACCACCGTCAACCACTTTGAGTGGACTCCCACTTACTAAGCTTATGAATATCTAATGACAATGTGAAACTTGTGTCCCCCCAGTCTGGTCATGATCTGTAACCCAAAAACTCCTCCTAAGCCCACCCTTCTCCCCCTCTTCTATAGTTCCTCTTTCCTCTCTTTATCTTTCTTTTCTTGCCCCTTCAGACCCCATACCTTAGCCCAAGTCCCATGCTTTGTCCCTTCAACTTCTTTCAGCTTATGGATCTCATTCCTTTCAAGATATTAGTTGGGGGTATGATTTGCAGCTCCTTTTATCACCCCCGCCTGTGCTAGATATGCTTTAGGGCTGGTGCACATCTAGGTGATTTATCACCAAAATACACAAATTTACATGAAAGTCAATAGAGGCTGTTCACACCTTTGCGTTTTGTCGCGTGGGAAAAATCACCTGTCGCGTAAAAAGGTGCAGGGGCTGTTTCCGAGCGTTTGTCGCACGGTTTGTGTCCCATTGACATCTCTATGCATTGATAATCGCGCTGTTTTTGAAGCAAAATTGTGCAAACACGTGGGTGAACCACCCGAAAACAGCCCAGTCTCCTAGGTGTGAATCTGGCCTGAATACGATTTGAAGGCACACGTCTGTGTTTAATATGTTGTAAATTCTTACCAAACACGTATTCTAGTCCAGTTCAGTGTTAATGTGAGCAAACATTTCTGTACAAAACACTGTTTTATTACATATTATAACTGATAAATACCTCCTTTGGAAAACCCAATAAAAAGTTTGTAAAATAACATACTTTAATAAACAGGAAGATGTAAAAGAACAATCTTTCACCAAAATGTAGCACACACACCTACCTGACCCTATCAATGGTCCCCAAAATGTATATTTTCTGTAAGCATAGCAGCTTTTGTTGTGTTTTTAATAGTATGAATAATGCCAACTCTGCACATGGACCGGCAAGAAAAGGAAACACGACTGTAATTAAGCTTTCTTTATGCTTCTTAGTTTAGTCTAAAGGTGGCCATACACTGTACAACCATCGCAAGACTTTAGTCTTGCGATGGTTGTAAAGGGATTTAAAAAACGTACGTGTCTTGCGATGGTTGTAAAGGGATTTAAAAAACGTACGTGTCTTGCGATGGTTGTAAAGGGATTTAAAAAACGTACGATCTGCCTATCTTGGACAGGCAGATCGCACTCTCGATCATCACAAGCCCACCCCCCTGAGGGGCGGGCTTCCGATGACCGCAATGCTGAACGGGCAGTGTGCGCGTGCGCACACCGGCCCGTTCAGCATTTATCTTCCGAGCACCGTTCTAACCAGCCGAGAATCGTACGATTCCCGGCTGGTTTTCGAACATGCTGGTTCGACAGAAGACGTGCGACCGTACAGTAGAAACGGTCGCACGTCTCCGTTCACACTGCTCGATTATCGTACGAAAAACCGATCGCATACGATTATCGTACGATAATCGTGCAGTGTATGGACACCTTTACTTTAAACACAGGCTCGTCGTCTGATTGACAAGTTGATTGGCACAAACTCCACAGAACATTAATGATGCAGGGCTGCTTTGAACTAATTAATACCAGTCATGTTTTCTGCAAGATCTTAATTACATGGCTTTCATTTTACATTCTCTTGGCTGTTTCCTCCAGCTCTCCCGCATGCTGGCAGCTGTTCTTTGCACAGAAGCCAATAACAACACTGAAAAACTCTTTACTGACTGCAAAGTCACCTTTACTGGGAACAAATGAGGCTTCTTGAAATAAAACATGTGTGTTGGTTTTAGGGGGAGGAAAATTTGCAAACTTTTCCATTCCATCAGGTGAATTAGTAACTTTGGTTTTGTCATCATGTGCTGGAAACAGAAATAGAAAGTTGCATCGCATTTTAGTGCCTGTCTGAGAATTAAGTTTCGTTAATGGTTAGTGCTGCTTGCAACAAATTGCTTTTCTAAAGTACTAATCCCTTAATTGCTAGGGTACAACAAGAGTACTACAAGTTTAACCAATGTAGTGCCAGGCAATTCTCGTCAAGAGTTTATAAATGTATTATTTTCTGAACTATGTGAACCTGAACTCCAGGTAAGCAGCTACATACACAAATCAAATACATAAATTAGAGCTGTTTTACCTGCCAAAGAATTGGTATTTCTGCCCATCCTGAGATTTACACAGCTCTGCCACACAGCATTGTCAAGTATGGCAGAGGAGCGGACCTGAACTTTCAATGCTGCAGGTTCACTTTCATTCACAGGACTTCTCTCCACCCCATCTGTGACCGAACAATAAGGCCTCATTCACACGGGCCTGTGTGAAGGGACGTTGTTTCATGAACCTGAAGCTGCAGGCAGAAGCATGCGGGCAGTTAAATGTAATTCTATGGAGATGGAGGAATTGTGCACCCTCACATGCTCCATCCCACAGCTCTAAAATTTTGACAGCTGCACACAGACGGTGTACGGCCTCAGATGCATACATGATGGATTTAGATCCATGCACCGTCGTGTGTCAGAACTGCTCACAATCTCTCTTGACACATGAGTATTGGAAAGGAGGAAATGCATGTCACATTTTTGGGCACATTTTCCCTCTTATATTTGTGTCTTGGGAAGAACAGATGACACAGTGACCTGTGCTTTATCTATCAGCACAACAAAAGGACACTATGAATTAAAAATTTGCCAAAATCCTCTGGGTGGCTTTGCCCTAAAGCTGGCCGTACACAGCTCGAATTTTTTGTGATTTCTGCTGAATCGGCTCTGTCGGCACCATCCAATTCCACAAAAGTCAACTGAAAAATTGAAGGAGGCAGGTGGTGAATTGTCGGCAGAACATTGACTGCATCCAATCACATTCACTCACTCCTTGGGTAGTCAGGCTGACGACGGGGGAGATTCCCCAGTGCACGCTGTTTAGCATGGATGGAGGAATGGTGTGATTTTTTTTTTCTTGTTCAGCCTGCGGAGCTGAAACAGACAAATCTAGCCGTGTATGGCTAGATTAGCTTCTTGGGTAGTTATTTGTCCTAGCAATATTGTAAAATAGGCGGATCTTGGCGGGGGGTGCAGGCTGGAATGGACATCCAGCATTAAGTTCAGGAACTTCAGTTTATTTTATAGATTACTATGTAGGAGTGCAAGCGTGAAACACATACATTCACTTTGAACTTTATAATTCCACTACGTTACGGAAAAGTTGCACTAATGTAGTAGCATTAAATCAGCAGGCTGTGCTGATTATATTATGCATTAATCATATGGGGGTGCGAAATAAAGTAAATTAAAGAAAATTTCCAGGAACATGCATTTTTCTTTCTAATTTGTTTAATATTTATTCCCAATAAAAACCAAAGAAATAAAATAAAATGTGTCCAACCTAAAAGTTATAGAGGGGAATTTATCAAAACTGGACCAGACAGAATCTGGAGCGGCTGTGCATGGCAACCAATCAGCACTTCTCTTTCATTTTCAGATCTTAACTGAACAAACTGAAGAGAGAAGGTGATTGGTTGCCATAGACAACTTCTCCAGATTTTGTCTGCTCCAGTTTTGATAATTTCCCCCCATAGTGAGTGGAACTCAGACATTGCCAAAGCAAAACAAAATGTTCATGGGAATTTAGGGAGAGAAAGGCATAGACTTGGAGTGTGCATTGCTCTTCATTGTATGTGGGCTTTTCTTCATTTTCCAGAATGCCTTGTTACCAGCTGGATTCCGACAGAAAGACCAGACTACAAAGGAAGCATCAGGAACATTCAACAAAGAGCATCTACTGGATTATTTGCGTAAAGAAGCCATGGAGCATCAAGATAGGGAGGATTGTGTCCCCTTTACTGGTGAAAAGAAAGGTAACTTTAACCTTTGTTATGAGAGCCTACCAGTGGACTGTAAGAAAAAAGGAAACTCGCCGCACTCCTTACCGGGACTCCCCAAAAAAAGACGGGTGCTCAAAATGACTGAGGATGGCGCCGCCACACGTAGACAAAAAGAAAGACGTCACCAGCACTCCAAAAACGATAATAGCATCAAATTAGATGCTCATTTATTGACAGATGCTGTCTCTCATTGGCAAGCGCTTTCAGGGTCCCCTTCGTCAGGCTCAGAGATGACAGTGCAAAGATAACATATAGTCATTTATAAAGACAACCTGGTTGCCAATGAGAGACAGCATCTGTCAATAAATGAGCATCTAATTGCTGTTATTATCGTTGTTGGAGTGCTGGTGACGTCTTTCTTTTTGTCTACCAGCGACAGTGACACTTAGGAGTCACGGAGTCCACTAGGTAGACATGCAGTTTTCACAGGATGAGATGTTCTCTGGGATGCCTGGTATCCTCACCTGTGTTTTGCATGGTACCATTTGTTTTTTTGTCTTTTTTTCCCCCAGTAGATAATCACAGAACTTTTACAAATAGACCAAAAGAATTCAGTATCACAAATGCATCAGCATTTTTAGTTGTTGTGCTGCAATGACCATAACAGAAGGCTTATGGAGAATAATATTGTACTAACAATCATCTGTTGTGGAATGTTTCTTATGATTACTCTTCAGTTTGAGTGTTGTCCTGGGGCAGGGTAAAATAGTGTACATTCTTTTCAGGTATGCCAAGGATCTTTCCATGGTCCTGACATTTCCCAATAGGATAAACACTTGTGCATGACACAACTTTTCCATCAAAATGTACTATTACCTCAACCTTCACAACATTGCTTCACCACAGAATTAAATTTCACGGGATTATATGCTCATCTTGAAGCTAGTGGTTATGCAGCTTGAGGCCAAGAATTGCCTTTTAGTATGAATGCTTTAGGAAACCAGCAGCTCCCACGTACCCTCTCAGGGGCACCCACTTGGCTAGTCCCCATACCAGTATATTTTATACGGGTTGGCAGTGCTGTTCCTAGGAATGTGCATGCTAACCTGGTGGTCTAACTGGTGTACCACCACACAGAAATGCTCTAGTGTCTCAAAGTATCTGGTAGAAATTCAGCTGGGCCAGTGATCCTGTTGGTGATGGTTCCTGTGAACTTTCTTACATGTTCTAGGGACTGATTCTCTGGAAATGACTAGCACTGGCAGGCAACACCACCTCTGGAAAACCTCTTTTGCCCATTCTCCCCCCCCCCCCTTTACTAAAAGGCTGGTTTGCGGAAAATAAACATGGAACATGCCATTAGTAACACTAATGGGTTTATTTATAAAACATTTGCCCATTAAACAGCTATACTCCTTAGTGGCGTCTAGTGGCGTGAATGCCGTGCAAATGGCATTCACCCACCTATATGCTTGGTGGAAGTTTTATATATAAACCCGCTAGTATTGCATAAAATATAATTTTGAATATGGTGAAACGTAACGCATACTGTTGCTCTAGTTAAATAGAATGCACTTCCTATAAACCATTATAGAGAAAATTAAAGCCACCTCTGGGGTGTGTAGTAGAGTAATTTAAATTGTGAATCCTTTCTTCAATGTAACCCTAGGCTCTCAGAGGCTCTACACAATTTCACAGCCTGCACAAACAATATGTCTGCCCCTGGACTCCAGCCTATCCGATGGATCTAGTTTTTTGTTTGCCTTTACCTTAAACTTCTGCCTGATATGATTGTTTCTGTCATTCATTTCTGCCTGAATTCTGCTCTGTTATTTTATGGATTCTGCTTTTGTCTGATGATTTTATACTTTGCTACGATTAGTTATCATCAACTAGCTATTGCCAGTGGGACACACACAAGGTCTACAACCTTAATTGTCAGAAAAAATCCTACCTTGTTGTGGGGGTTACTAAAGACCAGGAAATTAGCTACTCAAGGATCCTATGGCTGTGACAGAGGCTCTAAAACACCTTTTCCACTTCTCTTAAACATCTCTTACTGATGTTTGCATCAGCTGTGCAAACATCTCCTGTATGCAGTATGGCAACGTGAAGTTCTAAAGTCACAGCATATAGTATCCTGTTATGACATCAGCATTGTAGTAGGGATACATACTAGAGTTTCCTTTGATAATGCAACCAAAGTTTACTTTAAAAAAATCCCTTTTATGAAGTGAGAGCTTCCTTCTGTCTGCCCATCACTTTCAACAACTTCCTAGATTCCCAGTGTGCTTTACATCTCTTTCCCTGCTGCTTGATGTGATACAATCTCCATTTCGTAAGGCTACATATCCCATCATGCATTGCTTCCAGCAGGGAATGGTAATGTTACATTGTTCAGATGTTGAGTTGTAGTTCAGAAGGCAGGCTCAGTGAGTTGTGACACAAGGGAGTACATCCTATGGGCAAACTTCTAGATTGATATAAGTATTAGGAGTGGGATAGAACTTATGGAAATTCAATATAGAAATCCACATTTATTTTTAGTTTTTGTCCAAAGATACCCTTTATGAACAACTGTCACAATCACTAGTGTTATTTCACGGTCTGGTTTTTTTTCTTTCCTACTTGTCAGGAATATAAAACATATAATTAAAAACTGCTTTTTTATATCACCAATAATTACTGTGTTGTATGTACTGTACTGACTGTATAGTAATTGTAGTAATTACTATAATGATATTTTGGGTTCTCAAAGATGGACTGGCTCACAGTGCTTTATCACAATGTATCTGTGATACTGGGGTCCAGAATAATGACATACTGGCATTGTGACTCCCAGAGCAATGAGTCATGGATAGGAAGCATCCAAGAAGAATGGCGCACTGGTACTTCCAAAAATGATGGACATATACTTAGGGGTTTTTAATACTGCATTAATACTTATTATCCCACAATCATGGCGCCAGCTAAAAGAGAAAGGATAAGGGCTAGTTCACACCAAGCGTGTTCCAGGAGCAGAGCAGTTACAGAACGGATCAAAACTGCGTCCAATGTATTCCAATGGTATTTTGGGCTCCAGTTCACACCGCAGCATTTCCAGAGCATGTAAAAAAATTGCAACAAGCCCTATTTTTCCTGCTCTGGTACACATACAAATGCATCAAAAATGCATGCAAATGTTTTTTCTGCATTTAAAAAAAAAAACCGGCCCAGAACGCATCAAAAACGTAGCAAAAAACACGGCATAACACACTGCACTGCGAGTGCAGAAACTCATACAGATCTGGTCTGCATTTGATGTGAACAAGCCCTAAGAGAACGTTCTATAGCATTTCTCTATCTGAATATTTGATGTTTGAACAAGTAAATATTTATCACTCTGCTGTATATCAGCATAATGTGCACGCATTATCTCAGCATGGTCAAAGTTATTGCAGATCCTCAGTGGGCAGAACGTTTATTTATACTGTTCAATAGCCAGATTTAAGTGTTTGTGCTTGTCTTTTCTGCATTAAGAAGAACATGTGGATTCAATTATGATGCAAGAGAATCCAAATCCTTCCCATATGATATATTGGAAAGGGACTGGTTATCCTCCAAGCTGCCTTTTTGTCTTTGCTATACGATGTGTTTCATACCTTGGCTGGTTACCTAAGTTATCTGCATCTTCTTGTTTTTATTTGTATATTCATTTTATTTCTGTCTGTGGGAGGAATCTAGCAATAAGCAAGTCTAATGTAAGATAGGCCTCCACCCATTTATAACTGGATGATAGTAAACTATCACCAGCTTCTGAATAAATAGGAAGCCTCTCTACTGAGTGCTTTCCATTCATTTAGAACAGAGGCTGCAGAAAAAGAGATTGAGGACTCTGTGTCCTCAATTTCTTTTTCTATTTCAACCCCTGATATACATCACTTCCGCATTCACCTGTCAGTCATCTGGCTGCTATAGCCAGAGAAAATAAGCTGATGAAGCAGCTCTCTGCTTCATCAGCTTCTTTTGGGGTCCCCAGGTGACATTAGGGGTCTTAGAGACCCCTAATGTCTCCATAAAGAGGACCTGTCAGTGTGCCTTTGCTATTATATAGGGGGATTGTTATCACCCTATGTGATAGCAATAACAATAAGTGTAAAAAAAATAATAAAAGTAAAAAATAAATAAAAGTCACATATAAAAAAGTACCAAAATGTTTAAGTCCCCCACCACGTTTACGCACATATAAACATAAATACGCGTTCGATGAGCCAGCATGCGAAAATGACAATTGCGCTACACATGTTACATATCGTCGCGAACGTCGGAGTGAAGGCAATTGTTTTAGGGCCATTAATCAAAATTTAAAGCGCACCTATGGCCAATTTTGGGTATTGTAGTTTTTTTAGGTTTCGCACGTGCGCGCAATTTTAAGGTTTGACATGTTTGGTGTCTATTTACCCGACGTGACCTTATATTTAAGCAAAAAATTGGGTAATAAGAAATGTTTTATCATTTAATATAGGGGAAACAGTTTTTGTTTTTTTCCCGGTAATTTTTCCTTAATATAGTATAAAATAAAAACCCCAGTGGTGATTAAATACCACCAAAAGAAAGCTCTATCTGTCCTTAACAAATGGTATAAAATTAATTTCAGTACAGCGTTGCATGACGGAATAAATGTCAGTCAAAGTACCGCAGCGCTAAATACTGAAAAATGGCCTGGCCAGGAAGGGGGTTTAACACCGCAGACTTCAAGTGGTTAAACATGTGCAAAGACTAAAATTTCTGCGCATGGAGGCGGGTCTCATGACGTCACATGACACCACACTTCTGTTGGGGCAGCACAATTTTCTGTTCTTGCGTCAGGCGCAAAAGGAGATAGCTACGGTTCTATGGTGAGGAAACACATCTAGTGCAAACAAGTAATTTGTGCACAGACCTTTACTCAGTTTGGCCAGTGCACGACTAATGCTACTCATTTTCAGTGCTTCAGTATGCTCCTTATTAAACAGTTGAGCGATGTATGAAAAAAAAATGTACTCTCTTTAATC